GGGTAAAGTCTATGATACAGAATCCGATTAATAGCCTTGTCCTGCTCTAAACTTTTCAGGCAATCTATTAGTTTTTTTCTTGTAACCACGGAGGCAGGACATAAAAGCCTGAATTTTGCCTGAAACTCTCAGACTGAAGAAGTCTCTTGGAAGAGAGACGAAACGTTTCATTAAAGAAGAACCCGTCCAGAGGACCTATACAATTTTTTTCCTTTTAATGAAAAGTTTTGCTACAGAACGTAGTGGATTTAGACGGCTTTCTCCTTTTTCTTTAGGCAATATTGACAATCAAACTTGAAACGTTACTTGTGATTAGCGCTACTCAATTCTAAATTTAGAAAGAGCAAATCCACACATCATTTGAAGAAATGAGTAAAACCTCTAAAGTGCAAAGAAGAAATTTACGTCTGCAATTAGCGCTTTAGGGGACTAGTACCCACCACTGCCAGTTTGTATCTCATAAATACAGAGTACATCCCAAGTAAAGTCCAGATACAATTAGTGATCAGGAAGAATGAAGATTGAATTTTTATTGATTTTTTTCACACATGGAGCTCTGGAGCCAGTGCCAGTTTTGCTTGGTGCACAGGAGCGTCACAGTAAAATAAACAGTCGTGTTTGGTGATGTCGGCACTTTGGTTACATTAGGAACCGAAACACATTAGAGCTGATTAGTCAGACCGAGCCCCCCCACCCCCTCTCTGGTAATGAGAATGCTTTGTCACTCATTAACACCTCTAACATTTTGGCTTTGCATGAGAGGGTATTTGCATTTCCTTTTGCTAGCAGAAACTGTTTCTTTTGATGAGGCAGAGGGAACATAATGGGAGGAAATTGTAATTTAGTGAATGAGAACGGGACATGTGGAGATGTGATGAGAACGTGCTTAAAGCCAAATTTAACACACTCATTATGAAGTTTTCAGGTAAACAAAATTTGTCAGCGCAAGAAATGGTTTAATTCTGCGGCCATGTTTTATTCGAATTATTCTGAAACTTATTTCTAGAACGCACTCATTAAAACCAAAACTCTGCTTTTAGATGGAATCCAGAGTCAGAGGCTTGTAGTTTCATTTGCTGACTAGTGT